TCATAAAGGAAACTACTCACAAGGTTACTGAAAACTCTTCGACAGCCCACGACCGGTTTCGCCCTTCTTGGGGCTCATCAGGTAGGCGCAGTCTCCGAGTTTCCGTCAAACTTATGATCTACTTGAACCCAAATTGCACTGTTTTCGAGAAATACACTCATTTGCAAATCAATTTGGTTTTCACGGGAGACTCAATTGAATCTCTTGTTTATGATATTCCATAACTGAATGTGATGCGCACAGGCCACCTGATGTTTCAGTTGGCAAATTGATTTGCAAATGAGTGTGTTTCTCGAAAATAGTGCCATTTGGGTTCAAGTAAATCATTAGGTTGACGGAAACTCGGAGACTGCGCCTACCTGATGAGCCCCAAGAAGGGCGAAACCGGTCGTGGGCTGTCGAAGAGTTTTCAGTAACCTTGTGAGTAGTTTCCTTTATGATTTAACCTTCCATAAATAAAAATAACCCCCCGAACAAACTCGCCTGTATCCCCTACATGACTAACGACCGAAAGTGGGGCCATTGCATTTGAAATACACCATTTCAAAAAAATGCCTTCATAGACACTCCACGATCAACACTTCCTTGATCATGAACTTTTTCAGAGAGTTTGTTGACGGCATTCGGAATGTCGTATCGTGCCTGCCCCACTGCGCAGATGCGGCCTAAAATATTTCGTCTACTCCAGCTACTCACGAAGTTAAGTAATCTAATAACTAAGATTGTCAATTCACTCTGTTTTGCACTCATTTCGTGGTGCAATACGAGAAATCTCGTTGCAGAAAGATAACCACATCGTTCCTTGTCTATAGCTTGAAGGTGGGCTTTACAACTCTGATGCGCATGATTAGAAATTCGTGTCAACTCCAATACCACGGCTAATTTGCAATATCAATGAAACAATTCATTGAATGTTGACTCAAATCAGTACCTAATCACCAGCTTGAAATGGGGTCGATAAGTGTCAAGGCTAGCTGATTCACCGACACTATTCGGCTTCGAAACGTGGCTTTGCCTACAATCCCTATCAGGATTGTATCGGCCCGTACGTGAACTAAATTTGTGCATTCTATGTGTCGTTGCCATGACAACACCAGGGGCTCGCCTACTTCCTTTCTCTACAAATATGCTCTGCCGTAAATATGCCTCTTTTTATCCTCAAACTGACAGACTCCCGCTAACCTAGGGGATAGTATAGAATAGTTTCCAGAATGCTTCGGCTGTTGAAAGTCGTGGTGTTCATCCATATTTTAGAGAAAGCAGGAAGGCCAATTATACAGCGAAGTTTCTCCAACCGAGTGTCTGAACTCTCCTATTGCGCCGAGCGCTTGCAGAGCAGTCCTGAGGTCGCATGACAGGTTATTCGTTCTTTCTTATGAATTTGACTAAACTTACTTAGTACCAGAATAAACCACTGACTGCGTTTCGGCCTGTCGCTTGTAGTAAATTACATCCTAAAGTGTTTCTCGCGCTGTTATACTGCTCCAGATCATTTATACTCATCAGCTTCTCTTGCTTTTGACATGCTATCTACAAAGCCACGCAGGGAAAATCAACGATACTTTCATTCCTTTTCACGTTTTTTTAGATTCTGAACTACTTTGACTACTTCTTCACTTCTGTGTTCACCGTTGAAATAACTTTGAAGGTAAGTTATATCTACGTATCTGTGGTCTGATAGTAGCCTAAATCGAAGGCATCTGTGAATATTGTCTATGCTGTAAAGTCCCGAGGAGCCCTGTACAGCTGCTTTATCCCTACTGCGAACTATCGGCAGCGTGCATCTCATCAAGCTCAAGCGATGTTCGAACCCGCGACCTCTCGGCTAATGCTGGAACATGTAGTCTTTTGACTACGAGCGCCTGATCAGTAATAAGACAGAACATAGCTCAGCCTTCAGTCACGGAAACCACGTCACATGATCACTTACCGACTGGCTCCTCGATTGCCAACTTCTCATATGATGGTCTCACTCATATTGCGTAATTATTCTTCCTCTGAGCTACTTGTGGACGGAGGGCGATTGAGTTTGCTGTGCGCAGTTCATGCCATTTCTCAATATTGATGATGCTAATTGCCTGGCGGCAAGTATTGCTGCGACCTATCGATCGGTCACCGAATTTCCATTCATTGACACACTGATTATTTTCTCACTAGACTTGATTCACAGTTGCATACATTCGCAGAAGTCGCTTGATATTTTTGTAATATTTGGCAAATCGTTTTCCAGTGTAGATATTAGGTAGTGTTTCTGCCAGCAGTTTGCTCCTAACGACGGTTTTGCAACACCATAGCCGTAACAATTCAATGCGATTCCATGATTTGGTTGTTCTGGAAATGACAAGCTGCTTCTGTAAAAAACACTGGGTTGGATTCCTTGTGCTTTCTTCGTTTGGTATGTTCCTGCAACACTCATTTAACAAAATTTCAAAGGAAAATAATGGACCAGAACCAATCTGTAGGTTAACTGACTTGGTCAAATTTTCTTTCGGGAGATCCACCGCCAGCTGGGCGAGTCGACTTGGTCGTGTGTCTAACTTCTATGCCACACATTTCGTGTGATTTATGTCCTGGAGCTGACAAATCAAAGAAGAGCTTGTGCGAACGCCTTTGGGATTCCAGTTACGTGTGTCAGTTGACAGATGATCCGAATAAAACAATGCAAGCCCAACCTCAGTCTCATTGATACTCGAGCCACCAACGATCGTCCAGAGCTCAGCAAGGCCAAGCTGATTAATCAATTCATGTCAAGTTTCACCCGTAGCACTCGCTTGAACGGTAAACTACCAGTCCTGGTTTGACAGTAGAATAAAAATGGCAGCCTCCAGCCGCATTGACGAACTCCAAATCTATTGTTTCCTGAGGGTTAGAACGGAAATATTGGTATCTTGTAGGTCATTCAGACGTGTTCCATTTTGACCACCCATCTATATTAGGTGGAATTAACACCTAGGTGTTCTCTATCATGGTAATGAGCTGAATTCTCGGATGTTTTGAATCGCTGTTGCTCAAACACGGCAGTCGATAGCTGAGCGATAATTCATTTTACTACCTTTCGGAGGACTGCGAGTTTGACGTTCACCAGAGGCTCGTAGAGAAATGACACAAAACTAATCAGTTTTGTTGGTGTGCCTGATTAGACCACCCTAGAAGTCCTTGAAACTAGCAAAAGTGGATGATAATGCCACCACAGGTGTGTCGCAAATTCAGCTGTTTCACTACAGGACTATATTTGTTTGCCTTACGAAACCAGCGGGGCATATGATGAAGTTGCAATTAGTAAAGATAATTCGTCTTGGTAGCATTGTAAGTCATTCAAATCATAGAAGTATCCTCACCCATTGTTTCGGAAAACCAGATCCGATAATGCGAAGTATCTTACGAGGTGTACAAACGACCATGCTTAGTCCTTAGCAATATAACTGGGTCGCTTCTTGACGGAGGTCTCCACAGGAGAGACGAATTTCGATCTTTTTAACGGACTATGTTTTTAAGCATACCAGTTGCTTGGAATCTCATTACCATCCGGTCTCATTACACGTCAATAGGTGTGCGTTTAAACTTGTAAGCGTTTGCCGTTCATTGCATCAGCCTTGATCATCTCCGTAAACGTGTTCATCTGAGCATTTCTACTAACGCACTGTTTCATTTGAAAACGAACTGTCTGTGCTCAATAACCCATTCATCTAGCGTCTTCGTTTCTCTTGCATACTCTGTCGAAAACACTGTACTAAAGGGATTAAATATTGTGGAACAATACTTTTGGAGGTAGTCTGTTCTCTAAAGTGAGAGAATCATTCTATACATCCATTTTGGCGGCCAAGTGGATACGTCGATGAACTTTACTTGAGTCTCTCATCGGTACACATAAACTAGTTGCCCGTCCCAAAAACCTGTAGACTTTTGGGAGACTTTGAACGATAAATGCGCTGCCGAGAAGTATTTTGTCCTCAAAAGGAATTCCGTACTCTTCATCACTGCCAGATTATAACCTACGGCTTGGTTTTGCACAAGGGCGCCTTCTGCCGAAGTGCGAACAATATGCTAGATTTTATGGTGGTACTGACCTCAATTATTTCATATCCGATTGAGTGAGTTCCTTTCCTGACCTTTGTCAACACTGTCGTGCGTCCACTTTCTCACAACTATGGCCCTGTCCTTACACTACCTTTTGCTGTTGTCAGTAGTATGAAAATACATCGTCTTAACATCCGAGACGCTCGTACTTGTCGGTGTGGGGTGACATTGCACACCCTAATCTGTGACGTTTTCTTCACGTTGTGGCTTTTTGCACCTGAAATGAAAGTTAGCAATTTCAACTTTTTGCTGTCTGTGTTTTAGTATTGATACAATTTCTGTGGTCAAAATATTACGCGTCTCACGTGTGCTCCGTCCGCTGAGAGCAATAAACCGAGCAAAAGGTCTCAAGGTATGTGCGTCTTTTTCCATATAACTTTTTGTTAGTCTTCGTACACCAATCTAATACTGTAACATGATTTTCATATGATATTGTAGCGTGTGCACCAAAGTCTCACCTGTTACTTTTCTGCAATCTTTAGTGGGATTATTTCATCTGAGAACGTCTTCGGTTTTTTTGCAGGATTTCAGTTAAATGTTTGAAATTAATACCCCTTTATCTACTATCTTCCAGAAGATTGCCTCCTGTGTTTTCGTAGAAATAATCTTTTATGATTATAGTACACGTATTAGTGCATAATGTGAGATGCTGTGAAACTTCGGAACCCATACTTTATTTGATGCGCCTGTATGGAGTGCTTAATTAATTAACTCCTGCAGAGGAAAGTATAATTATTCAAACTTTCTTCTGCGAGGCCTGTAATCGGATTTCCTCCTAGCTAGTACGCGTTAGCTTTCAGTTTCAATTCTGCAAAAACCGTGCAATACTTTCTGACCAATTGCCTACCTTTTATGATAGAGGTACTCTTGCGGGAGAGTACCACACTCGTTCAAGTTGGTTCCGAAAAGACTGGTTTTTTTTCGTTATTTTTGGATGAACGACCGTCTAAACCTATGCTCACGGTAGAGGAAGAAAACCCGCCAACGGGGAAATAATTCGAAGGACTATATTCGGAATACGAATACATCGATATGAATAAATAATCCCGGATTTCTGTGGTTGGTTGGTTGGTCAGAAGTCACGTGTATGGCTATACACTTCCACCGAAACTGTGTATTGAAGGATGAAAAGTACATGGATCAGCAGTTCAGTTAGTCACTCTGATTACGTCACGGTCGAACTAGCAAACGGAATAGCGCATAGGCCAGTTTAGTTACAAAGTTCGCTGAGGTCTAAGCCGTTGTCTAACCGTAATCTACTATTCATTAGGTCGCTGAAACCTCTGCGACCGCCCACTACTGGTTTCACCCTTCATAGGGCTCATCAGGTAGACGCAGTCCCCGGGAATCCATAAACTTGATGTTCCGCCCACTACTGGTTTCACCCTTCATAGGGCTCATCAGGTAGACGCAGTCCCCGGGAATCCATAAACTTGATGTTCTATTTGAAGCGGACTACAGTTAATGAGAAATTCAGCTGGATTCATTTGAGTCTTGTCGAAACCGAATTCGTGTACCAATTAGACTGCTTGTCGACATCTAGGTTGTTTGGCAACATTTCGACAACCTCTGTCGTCCAGTACAATCTGAATCGTTTTGTTCGCCACCGCTCCGGAGGTACTCAGTATAGGACTCCGACTGAGGAGTCCCAGATGTGACTTGATGTGATGGGGTTTCCAACGCGTTTGTCTTTCTACGTCTTAGCATGGGAACTGGACTCTGCAATTCCTCATCACCATCATTAACAACAACGACACCATCGTCAGCATCATCATCATCTTCGGCGACATGACATCAGTGTTCAACATTGATGCCTCGCTGCCATACTGGCAGACTATTCATGGTTTCGATGTGTCTTGAGATGCTGCCAGCTCCCCCACACCTAGTCAAGGAGATGATCAGGGTCTTCAGCGAAAGCCTTTGGTTTGAATTTCTGACTGAAAGACGGTGGTGCTTAGCGGGAAGTGCAAGTGCATGACCATTTTTAAGAAACAAGTCGCCACACTCGTTCTAACAACCCCCAACCTGGAGTGCCAGGAGACTGTGTTGGTCCAACCTCAAACCATTGACCAATCTGGCATGAGAGACTGCGAGTGTCGCACGGACACCCGCCAGTCTATGACTCAATGGGTCGCGGAGGTGCATAAATTGCCACCCCACGGTAAGGTCCACCATCTTCCTGACTGTACTGGACAATGCTCATGCATCGCCTTGCCGTACGACCAACATATGACGATCGATACGAGCATGCTTATCAGTAGACGTTTGCTGGACGAGATTAGCAGATGGAATTTGATGACAGAACTGAGAGTGAAATTCAAATACAGAACAGAATTCACGTCAAATCGGTGACGTAGCTGGCTCATCAATAAAGTCCTCTTTCAAATGGTAGCCAGTTGTTGTCACAATTTATTCGATTCACATGCCGCCTAGCTCTCTACTTTGAAACGTGCAGAGTTTGGGGTGTGAACCAATCATGGAGACCTTTTTTCTCTACTTGTTCTAGAAATCTTAGTTCTTCCAGTGAACACTCATTGAAAAACCTCCCTAAATACATCGCGTCCAAGCATCTGATTGGGCTTTACCTTGATTGTATTAATACTGGTTCATCCAGTTGGGCTCTCTATGAAATTCCCGCTTTAGGATTTCAACGTCCCTCCTGAGAACAACACTGAGGATCTTTCGTTGACTGTTTTGTTGCGCTCTACAAAAAAACTTTTCATTGGATCAAACTGAGCTGAAAGAAGTCACGACGCCCGTTGAGATAGTTTCATATTTGTCCAGTACACTAATGTCGTGTGCACAGCGACCTTGTGGTGCGCATACGTGATCAGTACCCCCGACTGTTGAGTTCAGTTTTACTCATGGGTAGATCTGCTAGGCTCAAGTACAAGAGAGACTCTACTGTAACTCTATCCTTCTTCCAATAGACATTCCACTGAAGATAATCTGGACGCTGTAAGAACAGTGTAGTAATCGTTCCTGCATGTCTATAACGGGAAAGCTGGTATTCGCCCTGAGCCCATTCAATTCACTACCATATCCTGTTGTCTAAGTGAGTGACGTGTTAGTAAGTAAGAATGCCATATCAAGGGAAATTTGTGACGTCGAACTGGAAGCTATCATTCAGACTATGTGTTAACTTTTCCCTTCCGATCGATTCTGTCATCTCAGATACAGTCTTTCGCATTTTTCTAAATTTAGATTCACCAGTTAAGTCATCTTTTCTGTAGCCATTATATTCTTCATTGATTTGTCCAACTTTATTAGGAAGATTTAATCGGTCGCCTGCAAGCGTTTAAGCGCATTAAAATGCTCCGTTATCAGCATCTGTTTGGGCCTGAGCTTGTATTTGATGAATCAACCGGTGCCGACATCAGTCGTGCAGATAGCCAATGCATATAGACATGAACAAACAACAGGAGAACCTCCAAATCGATAGTCAGTACTCCATGGAATATTTGGAGATATATTTACTCATCAAGTGTAGTCTCACCTGCTTATAGACGTACACAAGCCTTACAACCGTTTGCAACTGACAATGAGTGGTTACCTGGAACAGATCACATTGCTTCCTAGCAGACGGGCTTTTGGCTCTCCAGGTACCCGTGAGCTAAGGCAAAGGCTAGCAAGACGTCTGGTCCGAGGAAGAGACCCGGGCTTAACGTGACGTAAAGGCTAGCGTAGCTCGTGGCCTTCTAACCTCTAACTTTCGGAGTGTACAATTGATGATGGCTGTTCTGTTCGGTCATCCGGGGAAAAAACAGACAAGTTAGGATTCCAACCTGCAGAGCCTTCCCGCACCCTGAAAAAATGTCGCGACCTTTCTCGGCCTACTGGTCCACCAGGTCGGAGGTCCTTCAAAAATTACCACTGCGTCCATTACTTTTATGTCGTCACCAAACTAGACTTGGAGGCACGCTTTTGTACCACGGATTCCTGTAGACGACCTCAGTCGCTTTCCCGCCAGGCTACAATCACGGCAGATAGTTATGAAAACTTCAGCATTCTTTTCAAGTGGTGTAATGATAATAACACCAACATAATGTAATGTGGTCAACCATGTTTCGGGATTTTTGTGATATCCTTACGATTGAAGGTAATGTTTCGTGTCATTGAGTGAAGTACTTCAATTGAAAGGTTGCCTGTTAAAAGAAAATACTGTTTTGAGGTCACATCTTTGAACGCACTTTGTTTTTGATATCACATCAAAATACCATCGCCCGTGGTTGCCCAGAAACTCATCTCAAATAGACGTCCTCAGGATTTATCGATAATCTATGAAGTCTCTGCGTTGTATTGAGTTTGTTAGTCCTGTTTTTCTAATACTCCCGGTTTTCACAAACGCCAACTCACAACACCCCGAAGCCCTCTGTATCCTCTTGGTTGTAGCACGTTGTTCAATGTGTAGTGGTCGCAGTGAAGAGCATCGGGAACATCATGATGGTGACCTTCTTGCTAGAATTCATGTTTGCTGTAATCGGGGTGCAACTGTTTGCCGGAAAGTTCCACTCGTGCAACGATGGATCACGTCTTCGTGAGATTGACTGCCGGTGAGTAGAACACTGTTTTGTCTATGTAATCCAAATCCCAAACGCAAAACTAACTCCTCAAACTTATTAAATGCCTTTGTTTTCATTCTCCCAATCTGCACCATTGGTCGAAGAAAGCTACCATCCCTTCCAAAAACACCGTTCGAACAATTCAATGAACTTGTAGACAAGAAGACATTCATTACAACATTTGGTTTTTGCCTTTGGACAGCAGTACAGAAGTTCTATCTCAGCACGGACTTTCACAACTTTCCTCCTATTACGCGACTCCACTATGAGAGGGTTTTTTCAAAACGACTATGTTTCGACAAACTGTGAGCACATATGACCTTAATTTGCCCCCGTTTGAAACTAGGTTCATTCAAGTTGCAATCGATCCCAAATTTGCGCACACGCATTACATACAGTATAATGGATGCCTTAGGTCGGTACTTGAAAGCGCACTCAACAAAACACTGCTCACGATGTTAATGAAAGGTCGTCAACTTCACTGACATAGTTAAGGTTGTCATCCGAACAACCTGGCAATATCTCAGCCCTCGCGCTTCCTTCGGGTGACATGGCAGTTATGCAAAGAAAATATATTGCAGTTGGTCGGCTCCTAATGTTTCACTTCACCCGCCATACTGAACACCGTTATCTGATTTTGATCAGTTTCCTTCGACACAGAAGTGTACAACTATCCGAAACGATCAGGTCTCTTCAGTTCAGTGATAGATTTCACGGGGCACAAAAGGCATGATTCTTTCTGGGTCGTAGGAGGAAGTGCCTGTTGGGAAACCGCTTAATTTGGCTTAAAGATCACTCGATAGCTCTGTCCAGTAGATACACATCTATCTATATCTGGGCGACTTTTTTTATTTCAATGTGAGCTCGAGTAACGTATCCGTACAAAGTCCGGTAAACTTTGACCAGTATATCCAATAATGAACTCAAGCAGCGAAGTGGAGTGGTTGTGAAAAAACTACTCTGGTTGTTTGTAACTATGATTTACACTATGTCACGTGACATTGTTCAAACACTCCAACTACAAGAGCTTGTTGTTTCATAGCGCATCATTTTTTTTTCAAATACTCCATTTTCACAGTGGTCAATTCATCACGTACGAGGCAAACGATATTAACCGACCAGTGGTGTATAACCGAACCTGGATGAACAATCCGTTGAACTTCGATTATGTACCAAATGCTATGCTGACATTGTTCGCTGTGTCTACATTTGAAGGATGGCCCGGTCTACTATACCGGTAAGTCATGATGGGCTTCCGGCCAAGATGATGTTTCTTGATGTTTCTTGAAGGGAACTAAATGTAGAGGACCAAAACACAGAAATTCACTTGCCTGTCATGATTTGCCATATCGCTTGAACTGTGTTGCGTTGCTGCTGTCCAATTGACTAAACATCCACGAGGAACCTCCCAAAGAAGCGCCATTATCGTTGCGATCCTTTCTCGATGACGTAGGTCCTCTGCGGTGGTACTGGAGACACGATGTCATCTCCTCTCAAGATTAGATGTTGACATGAAAATTTCTTGCCATTCGCTTAGATTAGACAAATAATATACCTGTATTTTTCATTCATTGACGGACATTCCTGGAATGGTTTGACTATATTTACCTTTTTCACCATACATTATATATATGTATATATTTGTATCACCACTCTGTGTGTAGCTCAGAGCAATGATGACTTAGCCAACTAAGTGAAGCTTCCACCTGAGAAGTCTCCACTCGAGGAGCCAGTCAAGGCCTTTCTGGTACAATGCCATGTTGTCTTTTCCACCTGGAGCTGCCCTTGTTAAGTTTACTCTTCACCAGTATGTCCAACTCTGCCTCGGAAATTGTTGTGTGCTAATCGTACACCCGATGAAATTCATTTTGAAGAGTAGCTGTTTTATAAACTGATGGGCAGTGACACAACAGCACATAACAACACAATTTAAAAAACACCGTCAACACACATGCCTTGGATCCGGTACTTTGTCGCTACCAGCGAAAAACGGACTGAATTTGAAGAGTACTGTTTTATAAACTGATGGGCAGTGACACAACAGCACATAACAACACAATTTAAAAAACACCGTCAACACACATGCCTTGGGTCCGGTACTTTGTCGCTACCAGCGAAAAACGGACTGAATGACTGATAAATTACCATGATAGCTTGTAGTGTGGTATTATATATATATATATATATATATATATATATATAGAAGATATATATT